CTGTTAAGACAGCAGGTAAAAGTTGGTCTGTGTTCTGTCGGAGCTGTCTGCGACGCGCTGATGAGATCCAGAAAGATCGAAATCGCGATCCGCGTCTGGCAGTTTCGACAGAATACAGACCACTTCGAATTATTTTATTCAAAAGGTTAGTAGATATGGCTGATTTTCGGTGTCTTAGGAAGTCAAATAACTCAGGATGGAAGGAGTAGTAGAGATATAAAACAGAGAATGGCGCAGGATCGGGTCACCTTTTACAAAAAGAAGTCACTTCTATGGCCGCCAACGGTTAATTAAAAAATTCGAAAATGATTGTTCAAGGTGTATGTTTAAAGCTCCGCGCTGTATGAGTGCGAAACATGCATGGTGCAAGTGGCGGACAAGAAAAGGTAAGGATAATGATGAGGATACTGTGGATAGAGAAGGCTAGAAATGAGGAGATATTAGAAAAAGCAGGAGAGCAGAGGGCGCTATGGAAGTAGGTGAGATAGGTTGGTATGACACATTCTCATGCATGAAGGGCTAGTTAGAGACATGTTAGAGGCAGAAACAGGAGTTACGAGGAGTAGAAGTAGACCTACATTAGATTACTGTTCACAAATAGTTACGGATGTGGGATGTTCTAGTTTTAGGGAAATACGAAGATTAGCTCAGAATAGGAAGAGGTGGAGGTGCGTGTCCAACCAGTCTTAGGACTGACGACCTTATGATCATGATGATGATGATGAAATAATATACAGGAGCTTACCTTTAAAACTTTTGCTGTATTACAGTCGCAGTGTATGCGATTTAATCCCAAGTTTATAAAATGATTATTATCATTTCTGTCAAAGATGTTCGTCAATATATACAAAGGAAGCTAAAAACTGAGCATGGAACACGAAAAATAAATTGCATATAAATATTGGACTTACACTTTTCACTTGGTTATTTCTTAAACTAAGAGCTTGAAAACTGCTTAGAAATTTTGTTCCCTCCAAAGGCACTATTGATGTAATTTGGTTGTTGTCTGCAAACAACTCTCTCAAGTTTTCATAAGTTGGATCTTCACTAATTAGTTCCAGTGATGTTATCTAAACAAATATCTCGTAAGTTGTAAATAGATAAAGTTGTAAAAATACAGAAACATGAAGTAAATTGATAAAACGAAAACTGTAAATTGATACGTAATTAAAAACGATCCAGTTATATCCTGAACTTTTACAACCAATCAGAGCCGAATTTAACAATCAGGGACCCATGACCTCCAATAAGGTAGGGAACCCCTCCTGTTAGAGTAGGCATATTTGCTGATATTAAAGCATAATTTTGTTGGGCTCTTATTTTATGAAGGTCTTGGGCTACAGTACCAAATACTTATACGTAAAGCAAACTACCTATAGTACATCCATTAAATAAATAAAAGTGTGCTAGAACATTGCAGAGAGTTCAAGGCGAAGGGGTGTAAAAATCAGCTATCATCATAAAGTCGTCAGTCCTAGGACTAGATAGACACGCATCTACACTCTTTCCTATCCTAAGCAAATCTTCACATTTCCCTAAAACTAGAACATCCCACATCCTTACTTATTTGCGAACAATATTATGATTTAGGTCTACCTAGGTACTATTTAACTTCTGTTAACTGTTTCTTCCTCTGATATGTCTCTCTCTAGCCCTTCATGCCTTTTTTCCTCTTTTCAAAAATTGATGATGTACAAATCAAATGTGAAAAAACGACCAAGTTCCAAGAACATTGCAGAGAGTTCAAGGCGAAGGGGTGTAAAAATCAGCTATCATCATAAAGTCGTCAGTCCTAGGACTGGTTGGACACGTACCTCCACTCTTTCCTGTCCTGAGCTAATCTTCGCATTTCCTTAAAACTAGAACATCCCACATCCTTACTTATTTATGAACAATAATCTAATCTACCCTTCTTAAGTTCTTTTTCTGCCTCTAATATGTCTCTAACTAGACCTTCATGCCTGAGAATGTATCGTACCAACCTATCTCGCTTATTTCTTATTGATTTCCGTAGAGCTCTCTGTTTTCTTATTCTTTCTAATACCTCTTCATCTCTAACCGTCTCTATCTACAGTATTCTCATCATTCACTTGTAACACCACAATTCGAACGCTTCTAATTTTTTCTCTATCGCCGCGCCCACCGTCCTTTAACAATCCATGTCTTGTATATCTATCCCAACAATCAGTAGCGGTTCGTTAAAAGAAGCATACAAAAATAAGTAAGACGCTTCTTATAGTGATAAAAGTCTGATACTACTTATTTATAATTGTCTGTTATTTCGTGATTTCACTATACACCATTTTTGAATATTATCCAACAAAAAATATGTTTAATTATGAATTCTCTGAGTTTATTACATAAAATTCTTTTTATTATAAAAGTTTCCAACGTTTCGCTCAAAGTTATTAAACTTCATCAAGGAAAAGGTGAACAGTATTAACTTGTAATAATTCCTTGAAAAAACCTTGAGCGAGAAACGTTGGTAATTTCTACAAAAGGAAATATACTCAGAAAATTGATACAAAAATACGTTTTTTGTGTATAGATCTTACATTATTGTTCGACACGTTCAGCCCCACGGTATTAGGGGGTAATGGGGTCGGTAAAGACGTCAAGTGCATATTAGAACAATTAACGAAAACGGCAAACGCTGGTGGTTTCCCTATTATTATTTGTAATCTAACAGGTTCGCAGGTACAATTATTTCCACATTCTTCACGCACCTAAAAGGAATACCATTTTACTGTAAATACGTTTTATTTATTTAAAGTAATATTTATAAAAACTGTATTTACCTTATGAATTGTTTCTACTTGATTGAAAGGCACTTGCTCAGTGGAGTTAAACCAATGGAAAGTTCTTGATGATAGACAGAAGGTATTGTTTTTATTGTTAAATCTTATATCAGTCTTTTTAAACGTGTCATATAAATTAGTACAAAGTAAGGGCTTGTTTTCTAAAAAAAACAAAGGTACAATTACATACAACTAATAAATATTCTTAAGTGAATTATAAATTTCGAAAAGTAATTGTTGACTTCATAATTCTCGCCCTATAAAATTTTGATCGTCGGCCTAAGTACGTACCTTATATATGCGAAATGACGTCCACTCCCTAGCGATTACGCTCAATTATCAATTATACATCAAACACACCATTGCTCGATTGATGGATTTGGTATAATTGATATGACTATAATTCAATGAGTTATGTGACCTTGAAATCGCCCCCTCATGAATCGCTTATGAGGTTTTTTGACTATAGAGCGAACGAATTTCGTCATTTATTTTTACCCATCGTTATATCCGGATTTTACTTTTACAGTGGATTTTGAGTATAACGACAACGAAGGGTCCACTGTAGTTTCGTCGTTATATCCAGAAGTCGTTACAGGCAAAGTTAAAGGAGATACACACTTTTTTTGAATTTTGAAACAATTTTAGCCTTTTTTTTAACAGTAAATGTACATCGGAAATCACACTTATTCAAAAGTTTACTAAACACAGTTGCTACTCAGAAACAACGGTAAAGGTCACTACACTTGTTGGCTATCTGTGTAAATATAAACAAAAGATAAGAAAGCCCTTTGTGTCTTTAGCGGTCTACTCCGATCGCTATATATGCATGGGATTACTACGGATTTGTTACAAATGATTCATTAAAAACAGTCGCTACACCCGAACTCAACGTTACATCCGAAGTCACTATAGCCACATGAATTTTGTACTAGTGTGCTTTAAATTCAAGGGACTTACATATGACGTCGCTATAGCACAATGGTCGCTATAACCAAGGTCGTAATAAATGAAATCCACTGTATGTTATTTTAATAATTGATTATATAAAGTCTAACCTGATATATCCAGAGTTAGGAATCCTTCTTTCCTAAATCGAGGTACGTCAGATAAATTGTTGTAAGATAGATCCAAAATACTAAGATTGTACAAATTGACGAGTGCTCTGTCTTCAAACTCAGCAATTGAATTCGAAGACAGATTAAGGCACGAGACATGACTGAGTTTGCCAAATTCCCCAGCCACCCTGTTTATTCGTCCATCCGTTATCGACAACGACCTCAATCGTTTCCACGTGGGGAGGGACACATTCAACACTTCCAGGGTGGCGTTTCTGATGTGCAATTCGGTAACCAAACCGTTTGTGGTCACATCTGAAAATATAGGTAAAGATACATTCGAAAATGAATGCGGCACTGCTAATCAATATAAATTAAAACTAACGACAAATTGAAGCATGCAACTTTTGAGGACTATTGTAATAATGTTTGATAACCGTTTATCATCATAAAGTCGTCAGTCCTAGGACTAGATAGACACGCATCTACACTCTTTCCTATCCTAAGCAAATCTTCACATTTCCCTAAAACTAGAACATCCCACATCCTTACTTATTTGCGAACAATATTATGATTTAGGTCTACCTAGGTACTATTTAACTTCTGTTAACTGTTTCTTCCTCTGATATGTCTCTCTCTAGCCCTTCATGCCTTTTTTCCTCTTTTCAAAAATTGATGATGTACAAATCAAATGTGAAAAAACGACCAAGTTCCATAGAAACTGTAATCGAACCACTTGTTTGATATTGAACTTGACAAATTTAAAGCTCAACTCTTTTATTGACAAAGTCGACAACCCCGAAACGTCTGTATCTAACCTGACCTCTTTTTCACATTTATGCTTTTATTGTTAATGTATCATATTAATTTTTAAAAAGTCTTATTCTTTTTGCATTCCTGAATGAAGCATTGAACTCATAAGGTATACAATAAACTTTCCTAATCCAAACCTATCCAATCTTAAGGGGTTAACCATAAATTGCGCATCTATTAAGTGGAGGAGGGGTTAACATAGTGTGACAAAGGGGAGGTTATACGCTACGTGACGTCGCATGTATAAATCTAAAATGCCTATTAATACTCTAAACTACAACGCTAAAAAAACTCTAAAATGTTACAACTCGATTTGTATTTTGTTTGTATCGCTTTTTGGCATGTTGTGGTGAATTTAAAATTGCAAAATGTATGACGTGATACCAGGGTTGAGGGGGCCATCATACAAATGTGATCGCCTGTGATAAACGAGAAAAGGCTCTGAGAATCATAAAATTTGTGTGAAGTAATTTATGAATGACCCCTAAATGCATCCAGTTATTTTTGAGTTGGGAGAAAATTGGAGTGAAGGAAATCTTCTGCTTTATCGTCAAATTTCTTTTTTTTTTTTATTTAATATATAAGACCGCTTCTAGTATATATATTCTCACATCATCATCGTCGTCAGTCCTAACACTGGTTGGACACGTATCTCCACTCTTTCCTATCCTGAGCTAAACTTTGCATTCCCCTAAAACTAGAACAGCCCACANAAAGAGTGGAGGTACGTGTCCAACCAGTCTTAGGACTGATGACCTTATGATGATGATGAGTAAGTATAAACTTATATTGTCAGATTAAAGAATGTTTAACGAACTAATAGCATATCCCATATGGTCTAGTGGCTAGGATACCTGGCTTTCACCCAGGAGGCTCGGGTTCGATTCCCGGTATGGGAAACCTCTTTTGCAGTCAGAGTTTCTAAAAATTATTCTAACATTTAAAAACCAGAAGTTGTTTTTCTAATTAGTTAGTATTTTGCTTATAACTATTGTAATTTAAAATTCAGCGCAACAGTCGACTACAAAAGATTCCGCATTTTAAACTAGAAAGTCACTGAATAAACAATTGAAGTAGTCAGATAAGAATTGAGTTGAAATGACTATCTGTTAATAAATTTTCAACTTGAGAATCATTTAAACAATTTTTTTTATCTAAAAATCTAGAACAATAGTTTTCGAGATAAAAAAATACTTAATCAATTGGTACAATTAGGTATGTATTTATGTTTATTTATTTGTTTATGTACATTTATATTACACATATAAAGCATATACTAATTAACATTGCGCAAATTAAACATAATATAAAAACAATCACAACCGTAGATAACACAAAATTGTCTAGTCAATACCTACACATATTAATAAGACATACAATGCGGAAAGGGCGTTTTAGGAATAGCAAAATATCACAACCATTAAAAATAATAGTATAATATCTATACTCTGTATTCTATATAAATATAACATAAACATCAACATTATTCCATGGTAATGTTTCATATAAATAACATGTATGTACTGTTACAAACTTAAACTTTAAGCCTACAACTTTAAAATGCAATTTTTAGCAAATTAAAGTTATGTAATGTTTTGTCGATATGTCTACATATTGTTGGCTGTATTTTTTCTTCTTCCTTTCAGGCACTTACCTAACGTTTTCTTTCTTTTTTTTTTAATCAATTTATTTAGTTTCTATTAAAATATAAACATTATCTAAAAGTAGAGCTATACTTATGTAATAAAAAATTCTTAAATTTTAGGTCATTTCACAAATAGAAATTTACTTGACATATTCATTTAAATAGCTCATTAAGAAAACAATGCATGATTAAAAGAAGAAATAAATAAAAACGATAAACATTAAAAAATACAAAATTTAAGAATCTTTAATACAATAAAACAATATCCTAAATTGAAATAAAGCAATAGCATACAAAAATACACTCTAAATAATTTTTAATTTTACAATCAAAAAGAGTAATTTCAAACTATTCGGACGCAAAGGAATAATTAGTCCAATGTCTATTTGTTACGAGAGTTGAAATTTACAATTTTTTAAAGATCTTAACAACATTAACGTAATATTAAAATTTTCTATGTGCCTACCTATCGTATGCACATTACCAAGCCCATATAATATAAACCCCTTAAAAGCACAGCCTTTAAATAACTTAAAAAAATATGTACAACTTGGAGACCCATGTGGAGTAAAAGTCCTGAGAAAAACTGACGCAGCCGATCTTTACACACCTTGAAATTTAAAAACGATTTAATTAAAAACATCTTTGATGAAATTGAGATTAATTTTCACTTAATTTATCAAATATTCTTAACAATTTGTTTTAACCTACAGCGTCATCTTTAGAAGAAGGTGGGAGTAGTAAATGTTTACACACATTCATACAATGGGACTCAAGTATATTCTCCATTTTGTTTGTTACATATTCCATGATTAAATTTAAATGAGTTATTATTTTATTATTGCTTTCAATGTGCTAGACTTTTACCTATTTCCTATAAATAACATATGAATGTTATGTTTACATTTTCTTATTATTGAACTTGTCCTATTTGTTAAACATGATTCATGAAAGTACATTTACCAGTAATGTTCATGCTTTTCTTCATTAAAAGCTCTACTTGTTTGGCCTATGTAGATGGAGTTATTATAAGTAAGAACTATAACGGTAAGTCTTCTTTCAGCAAACATGTTAAAAGAAATGGGACACAAGTTCAACAATAAAGAAATTTTAATAAATACTCCATGCAAATGAAAAAGGGAAAAATTAGCTGTACCTATTAGAGGCAATAGAAATATCATTGAAAGATGATGACGTTGTACACTGAAACAAATTGTTAACAATATTTAATTGAATAACTGAGTTTTTTCTACAAAAATGAAGAAAAATGAAGTATTTTTATTAAATATTAAGTTTTCACAAAATTTAACCAATCTATGAATTGATGAGCTGACGACGCAATAATAATGAACTTTGTAGAAATCTATTTCTGTCAAAGAAAAAGTTTTATTAAAACTTACATAGCCAATCACATGGAAGCTTGGGCATTTTACTAGCAGGCCATGGTAGGTAGCCGGCAGTCTTAAACACCCAATAATCGTAAGAGACTTTAGTTATTAAAAAGAGTAAAAGCAGTACTTCAGCCGTTATTATATAGTATATATAATCCGTCCAATCATGCTGACTCTGACATAACTTTGATACATCTAGATCTATGACACGACTTTTTATATTCTCACAGTAGATTTCTTCGTAATCGCGGATATGCTTTAACTTGGAAATAATCCATCCCTGAAAATGTGTACCCCACATAAATTACTACTCCAACACGATTTGAAAAAATTGGAAAACGAATCTATCATCTAGCAAAGAGGAGTTAGAGATTTTCTTAAATAAAATGGAAGCGATATTGACAAAACAGTATTGTGTAAATATGAATAAAAGTATGCAAGGGTAGAAAAGGTAGGGAAGTAGTGAATATAAAGATAAGAAACGAAAGGTTAGTAGAAAATACCACAAATGGCGCGATAAACGCCATCTGTAGTACGATGCTACATCTTAAGATTACGTATGTTCCAACAAGGTCCATTTAAATATGTGGATATCTACTTGCTGAAACGAATCCCAGCGTAGCTAACCTCAACGTGATAGGCACGTTAGCATAATCGAATAAAATAATTCGAAGTGGTCGGTATTCTGTCGAAACTGCCAGACGCGGATCGCGATTTCGATCTTTTTGGATCCCATCAGCGCGTCGCAGACAGCTCCGATAGGACACAGGCCAACTTTTATCTGTTAACGTGCCTATCACGTTAAGGTTAGCTGCGCCGGGATTCGTTTCAGCAAGTAGATATTCATATATTTAAATGGACCTTGTTGGAGCATACGTAATCCTAAAATGTAGCATCGTACTACAGATGGCGTTTACAGCGCCATTTGTGGTATTTTCTAAAACGCGCTGTTAAGACAGCAGGTAAAAGTTGGTCTGTGTTCTGTCGGAGCTGCCTGCGACGCGCTGATGAGAT